GATATATTACAAAAATTTAAGGATGCAAATTTTCGTTTTCTTTACAGGTAGGACAGCATAACGCCTTCAACTACGATGTTTACAACAACTACATTTTAGTACAGTTCGCCAATGGAAGTGAGTTTTGATAAAATAAGAGAGTGCAAATTAATGTAGGTGAAATGGAATTGAGCCAGTGAGAATTTCCTATGAAATGCCGAGGTCTGTTTCTTCTTTGTGATATATGATTATTAGCGGCGGTCTGACAAATTTTTGGCGGAGTTTGCCGTTGAAACAAGTGATTTGCACAATTTTTTAACTTGTTTAGACAAACTTTTTGAAATTTTGCCCTCATTGGGAGTTTAGAGGGGCCATGTGCGTCGGATCATTCATTTTCCCAATAAAATACAGCGAAAACTTGACGAGTTTCAAGTAGCCTGAACGTAGTATAGCTTAAAAACTGTAGAGTATGAACATTTAGAGTACCAGACAACGTTCTACACTAGAGACTATTATCAGCGGTTTCTTGATGACATAATGTCGGCTATCTATACTACAAATGTAGGTGGTTGTGAAGAGCAAACATTTAATGCGATTTCCAGCGTCTTTGTGCAGGTATAACTTCTTGAGTTGATCCCAACCAGAAAATATATTTCCTCATTTAGACTGTGAACCCAAAATCTGCTATTTATGTGTTCACCGACGCTATCGCTTCCGATGTTGATCAATGGCGCACAGTCACAGAAACAAATACGAGGAGGAAATTGCCGGTAGGCCTGAGCCAAAACCGGCGAAAGTTAGAAAATAAAATGTAATGCATTTCAGATCTACACAATGTTCTTGCCAAATGCCAACTGTACAATTAACCAGTATTCGGAAGGATATCGAGCGCTTCAACGCGCTTCAGAGTTCAGCGGTGGCCTCACGCAGCAGCCAACCTTAGATTCTCTGGAGAAGGTAGAAAACGATCAGTATAAATTTTGAAGATAAAGATTCACAGAAAATCAAGTGCACTTTACAGAGGTGTTTTATCCTCCTTCTTTCAGATCTTCCAATATACCATGAAAGCTACATCATACAGGATGAATTCTGTTCTGACCGATGACTTGAATCAATGTGACACCAAAGGCTCTCGAATCTTCTTTATCGATTCTTCAGCCGATTCCATTATAATCTTCGCTGTTGGACGTACGCCAAACCTACTCTATTAAGGAGCAAAAAAATGTCAATTTTTTCAGAGAATTTAATACTATCCGTCACTGATCCGAATTGGAACAAATCCGCTGCTTTACTTGTATACAACTCGAATACATCATATTTTTGGGAGGTCACTAATGTCATCCCAGGAGAGCATCTTTTGTCAATCACTTCACAAAATGTATGTGGGTCAGAATAACCCTGATATCATAAAAGCAAGCCGTTATAGCCTCAAACTTCTTGCTCTTATCGAGTTATGTCGCGCTCTGATTACGACTTGTTCTTCGGTACAGCCAACGTCATCGATGAGGACGCAAGTGACACTGAACCAGTTGTTGGTGAGAGACGACTGAACCGAAAATAGAAAATAAAAAGTAAAGAGTGCAATTTTTCAGGAAAAGCAAAGCACATCGTTGCTCAGCTGAATGGTCTCTATAATGCCGTACAAGATCGCTTCCGTCTTTTTGCTGAAATTACTATCACTACCAATATCAATAGGGATAACCAAATGCACAAACCAATGTACTTTTCCAGCGGTACGGTTAACACGACTAAATAAGTTACATATCGAGAATTCCATAAATGCAGGAAAGTATCGTGATGGGTGCGGATATCATCTTTATTTCGGTCTTGCTAGCTTCTGCGAGTTCGCCGATCAGCAATTCTATGCCACGGTAGGTTTCTAAATATGTGCTTCGGTTATAGAGCACCTTTTGCTCATTTAGGTCTATGCTGATGACAAGAACGGCTACACCATTCAACGTACGACTACTGGATACTGCTCAATGAGTACTTTATAGAAATATATAAAGCTGTACACTACATTATGATCGTTCAGCTGAAACCACACCAGCGCCACCTTCGGCCTGTCAAAATGGGGGAGTACCAGATCCGACGAACAACAGCTCTTGCATATGTCCACCCAGCTATTCTGGAGCCCAGTA